CCCCTGCATAGCTGCCAAATATTATGGAAAATATTATCTGGTTAGACGTTGTTACACTGTAATTAATGTGATTGCTATAGGAAAATAAATGTTGTTATGGTGAATAAAAGAGGCAAGAAGCAGGTGAGTTATACCAAACATTACTCAAGAAAGTCTACTTGTATTTAAACCAATATAAATGACTACTGATCAGATGATGGGTGCAGACATAACCTCACTTTGGGGATTTTTAACGTTATAGTAAAGTGTTACTCATATACTCAATAGATTTACTGTAAATTATGAGTTACTTTTTTCCAATGTTTGTTAAGATTGCTCATTCCTATCATGGAATTGGTAATGCAAGCTAACTACTAATTACAACACAGTAACCAATCGGCATGGATAACTTCGTTTTTATGCAACCTCTAAGTGTTGAATGAATAAGGTTGCTGAACAGCACTCCTGCACCATCTTTTACTGAACACAAGTTGCATTAACTTGAATGGAAATTATCTTTTTTCCTGTTGCTTTAAACTTTGCCGAAAATTGACTTTTTTTCTCCGGGAGAAACATGACTTAGCCATGGTGAATTTGTTTTACCGTGACAAATGTTCTGTAACTGAAAATGAAGTATTCTTTTGTCAATGAACGATCAATTTGTTTTTTCTAACATGAAGTGTGTCCAACAGCACTGAAAAATTGGCTCGGGGCTTTCATAAGGTGGGTGTGTGTGTGTCGCCAAGGGCTTTTTATAGCGCACTGATCCCATAATGGACTTGTGTTTATAATCATTAATATTCAGATGTCTGGATACATGTGTCAATGTGATCTATTCCTCTTCACAAACACACACTCATTAAATGTATTCAGTGATGAGCGGAGTGCTGTCAAAGGACAAAAACAAGTATTTTGTTTACTGCATATATTTATAGGAAAAGTGACCTCTGCTGCTTTTGATTTAATTGTCTATGTGAATATGTGTAGAACAAAGTATCAATGTGACTGAGAATGAATCAGTAGCATCAGCAACACAGTCATTAACAAAGCCACAATAACAACACCATTACCATTGAGGTAAACACGACATGGAATTATTTTTGAATGTTTGTTGTAGGATCAGCTGTTATCACATGATCTAACTGAGAAATCTCTGTCTGTTGATGAAGACGATGAGATGATGCTGAAAGCTTTGGGGAGAACAAAATAGTAAGTGACCCTTGAGTAAAGATGATATGGCAGTGTTGTAGTCAAGTCGCCGATTCTCAAGTTCGAGTCACTCTCGAGTCCCCACTCTTCGAGTTTGATTCCAAGTCTGATTTGCCGAAGAAGAGTCAGAGTCAAGTCCGAGTCGAGTCATCATAGCCTGTGTTCGAGTACGAGTCACGAGCCATCATGTATTCATCTGAGTGGATATATTTGTTTAAATTGAGCGGTTGGTTTGGTTCTTATCAATCAATATTTGTTATTGTCTACAATGCTTCTATCCTTTTTGCATTGCTTTTATTCTGTCTTTTTTTATAGTCATTTGTCTTTTTAACTGCTGTGAAGAACTTTGGGCTGCCATTTTTTGTATGAAAGGTGTAATTCTAATAATTTATATATTATTATCAAGGTGTTTTGCACACGCTGTGGCAGAGTACATCCGTACTCGAGACAAAAATAGCTCGAGTTCGAGTACAAGTCCGATCGTCAATTTGCGCGTCGGAGTTCGAGTTCGAGTCCATCAGTGCGCAAGTCTGAGTCCAGGACTCAAGTACTCCAATTCTGTTATATGGTAAAAAGGCAATAAACTAATTTTTTCTCTTAATACCACCATCACAGAGAACAACAACATTAATACAGGGACCAAGACGCACAAAAAAACAATTCTCCCTCCATCAAAACCACAATCCATGTCATCATAACCTTAACCTCCAGTTGTAATCAAAAGTGTCCCGTTGAGCAGAATCGTGCCCGGTGAATTTTTTTTTTTTTGTCACACAGCCTACAATCATCTTTAGATCTATTTATAAGACTCTATTTATATCAGAGAAGAATAGAAACTTCTCATGTCCTCACTACACTGTTGGAGTTGAACAGGGGGGCACACAGGGAGGTGTATGACATAATGAGAAGGTGAGGGGGGGGGGGCTCTGCAGTCAGAACAGAGCCAACTGCCAGGAAGTAGAGCATCAATTAAGGGCAGCGTGCCCTACATGGCACAATGATGTTCCCACAATGCACCAGCTTCATGCACGTCCACTACCTTACTTTATGTCTCTTTAACACACACATAGGAACAAACTGCTGCTGGTATTACATTATTGAACAGTGAGCGGATGGGACACGAAGCACCAGGGGAGGGAAATAAGACACCAACCACACACACACACAGAGCGCAGACACACACACACACACACACACACACACACACACACACACACAC